ACACCTTAGAAAGAAGCATGGCGGTTGGCCTCAATAGACTATCACTCCGCGCCCGTAATAAGTATACCCACAGAGTAGTTTTAGATGTAGGAAATCGCAAAGTAATATCCGAAAGGCTTCTTCAGAACAGCTCGGCCAGATGTCAATTGTCGAGAGGATGAAAGAGGGTGCTACTGACTTCGATTTCTAGAGGGAGGAATGCCGAGGAACACAGAGTGATAGCTTCAGTACGGCTGATTCCGAAGGTGACGGAAAGCCTATTGTCAATGGAGTTGAAGATTGAACGATCAATTCTTGGTTGTTTGCTCAAAATCAACTTCCCCAATTTTCGCGGAGGCATCAATACGGCAGTCATCGTCTCATCGGTCACTGTTCAGAAAGAAGAATGAAACATCGTCAGAAACCTTAGTTTGCTTAGTGATACTTGATTTATATGCTGGTGTAACAATACATAATACTCAAGTCAACAATTGGTGTTTTGGTTTTTTCGTCCGTTGTTACTAAGCGTTTCTGAGAAATCTTCTAAGAACAGCGTGGGCCCGAGCGTAGCGAGAGCTGGGCATTAACGGTTTATGAGACTTTGCTGACAGTTTCTGACGATAGAAACAGATCTGGCGGATTGAAACAGTTGGTGAAAGTTTGGATAGTCGCCGTTCATTTTTCCTGGTGCCGGTCAAGTCCTCTTTGAACAAGCAATATCTGGAACGTTTTTGGAATTGGGTCAAGTTCAACAATGCCTGGGTCAAAGAAGGGACAGAGTGTCTTGGATGCAAACAGGAAAGTAAGTCATGGTGACTTGTCTGTTAATTGTAACGATGTGTCTGATGTTAAGCATGACATGGTTGATGTTACTGTTTCGCCGTTCAGGGATAATAGGAACATCAAACTCCCTAAATTTGAACCACGGTGTTTTGATGGAAACCCGGCTGATTATTTACAATTTGTAAAGGAGTTTGAGATCATGTTGAGTAGTTTTCTATTAAATGATGAATTGAAGTTAATGTATTTGATGAGATATTGCACTGGAGATGCTGCAAGAGCTATACAGTGCTGTAAGTTTATGAAGCCAAAAGAGGGCTACTACGAGGCTATGAGCATATTACGTCAAAGGTTTGGAAGACCTTCGATGATTGCAGGGAAATTATTCGAGGCTGTTAAGGGTAATGGTGGTCAATTACAGGATGACTCCCAGGCACTCACTGAGTTTTTAGATAATTTGCTAATTTACAAGAATGGAATGATTTCGATGAATCGAATGAGTGACCTCAACTCGAGTTTTATACTAGAAGTAATAGCAAGACGTCTACCTACTCGACTGCAAAGGAAGTGGGTGAAGATAAGCTCCCGTATGGAGGATGAGGGTATCGAGCCAAAGTTTGATGATATCCTGAAACTGGTAAATACTAGTGTCAATCAATCTATGAGCAAGTTTTCCAGTCTGTTAGATCTCACCCCTAGAATAGAGCAGTCTGAGGGTAAAACGCACTCATTGATGACGAGTAGGCCTCAGAGAGGTGGATATCGAGAAGACTCCATGATGTCTAGTAATGCATATAGACCTAGTGAGTGTAACAGGTTTCGTAGTACATCCTCAACAGATAAGTTACAAGATGCAAGACAAACACGGTTGTGTTTTACACGTGTGCAAGAGGTGCATACAGAAGTGAACTGTGAACCAGTGAGCAAGTTCAGTGATAAGCTAAATGTAAACTCCAGGTCTGACTCCGAATTGTGTGACGATAACGGTGTTGTGAAGAAGTCTGTAGTTGCAACTGGTAAGCCGTTGCTGAATAGAGTGTCACAGAATAGAGTTACTGCTTCAGAGTGGAGTTCTGACTCCAAAAGTTTACAAAGTATAACTAGTCAGAGTGAAGATATAAAACCTTTAATGATTTGTGAGGAGGAACCAAAATTGTCTACTTCTGTTATTAAAGAGTTTGAAAATGATGAAGTTGACGGTAAATTGAATATTTGTGATAATGATCATGATAGTGCAGATTTGTCTTTGGTTGATCATGATGAAATGGAGGGAATGCCTACTACTGCTAAGTTAAATAAAGGTTCTGTACAACTTGAACGTGAAGTAGAAATAAATGCAGATGCAGTTGCAGAAGGCATGCATACTTGTGAGACCGTCAGTGTAATTGATCAGCATGTAGCCCACCTATCATCAGATGATAGTGCTAAACCTGAACTAGTAGTGAAAGACAGCAGTGGTGGTAATCTTGCAGTTGGACAACTATCTGAGAGCCGAACAAGAACAGCTTCTGATCCACCACTAAGTTCATCACCTTGTGTCACTCAGTCATCGTTGGTGTTTTCATCCACAATGAAACAGATGCCCATCAACTCAAGTATCTTGTGCAATGACTATGGTAGTATCAGTTCGTTTGAAAGGACGAATATCAATGGTCAGTTTAGTGTGGATAAGCCAAGTGTAAAGGAGAGAGTTATTGTTAAATTGACTTGCACGAATAAAGGCATTTCTAGTTTCAAGTTACTATTTGAATGTTATTATCTTTGGTGTAAATTACTCTGTTTCTACACTTGGTTGATGAGATATGTCGTGTGTTTGTTGGTCATCTATATTCTACGATACAATGACATGGGCGTGTTGCCGTTCAGATTTGAGGATATAGCTCATAGAAGGAAGTTAGCAAATGAACTCTGCGACGATTTTCCAACCTAGAGCGTCAACCTGAGAAGGGTTGTAGGCGTACTGCTGTAAGTCCTACAATTCTTCAAAGGGTAGCGCATCAATGAGCAGTCCAATGTGCTTGGTGTATGATCTTGTACATATGTTCATATTGTATATACTGAATTGATATCATCTGTCATCTAGCTGTTGGTAATTCTGTTTGTGTCCGGACGACTTCCACTTGGATCATCAACCTGAGAAGGAATGTAGGCGTACTGCTGTAAGTCCTGCAATTCTTCAAAGGAATTCCACCAAGACATGATCGGCGAGGTTGTTTGTACTATTTGTATATACGTGTGGTGTGTCATATCAATTGGTGTATTTTGGATTCATTGTGTTTACTCGTTGTTTTCGTGCCTTGTTTTTATTGCATAATTTTGTTAAAATTTTCGTCGTGATTACTTCTGAAGTTGTTTCGAGTCTTCTAAATCCATGAATAAATTGATTGATGTTAAGGACAGCAGATGGGTCGTATACGCCGGGGAGGCTAGGCTATTGCTGAGAATGAAATGCACACGGAGATAATTGTTAGCTGCGGTCCGACACGCCGGGGAGCGAGAGTGTAAACGACTGAGGCTCGCATGCGTCACCGCTATTAGAACTGAGGCAGAATGAGTGACCAGCGATTTCAGTGGTAATTGGTAGTGAGTAGATTAGGATGTGCGTAGAGTATCGTGAGGTGGTGCTATGGTCACATTGCATTCTGCAAGAGTTATTCGAGCAAGCGGCGATTGTGTTGCAAGATGTCAAGAGGAGGTCTCTGTCTGGAGGCGCAGGTCGTCATTGATGTGTGAGATTGTGCTGTGAGTATGCTTGTGGTGTGTTGGCTTTTCTGTTTGTTTTCCATTTCAGCTCTGTCCGTGTGACCCAGGTTCTCGCAATCGCATCCAAGTCAACGTGCATTGATCGTGAAGGAAAAAAGGGTTGGATCCCTTTTTTGCCGGGGAGTGTCAATGGAGTTGAAGATTGAACGATCAATTCTTGGTTGTTTGCTCAAAATCAACTTCCCCAATTTTCGCGGAGGCATCAATACGGCAGTCATCGTCTCATCGGTCACTGTTCAGAAAGAAGAATGAAACATCGTCAGAAACCTTAGTTTGCTTAGTGATACTTGATTTATATGCTGGTGTAACAATACATAATACTCAAGTCAACAATTGGTGTTTTGGTTTTTTCGTCCGTTGTTACTAAGCGTTTCTGAGAAATCTTCTAAGAACAGCGTGGGCCCGAGCGTAGCGAGAGCTGGGCATTAACGGTTTATGAGACTTTGCTGACACCTATCACACACTAAAATTTGAGACGCAGTCACCAGATCTATCTATTTTTTGCAGAAGCACTAAGCACTTGCACCCGAAGTTTTTGTGCAGTTGTGCAAAATGAATTTGAGTTAGCATTTAGAAAATCATCAGGTGACCGAGCTATTACTCCTAAAACGAGATGTGAATCCCTTGGAAAGAGTATGAGGAAGGGCGGTTAAAGCAATCGACGGACTAAAATGCCGAGAGTATGACTACCGATTACGACAAATGGATAACTATGCCTTCGGCCATCACACAACCACAGCCTTATCAAGACAATGTGATGCTTGAACTAGAGTACTGATCTGGGCATCTTTCAAGGTAGCCCTAACGGAATTGATCACTAATGGGCTTTACTGTTATGTGTGAGTCCATCTACGTGGCCACAAGCCTAGTGCTAAGGGGAAATACTTGCACTGCGTCTATTCCACTAGCTCTTATGTAAAGTACTGCCTTATTAGGTCGTAATAGTAACTCACATAGTTACACTCCTCTTTTTACTTCCTTATACTTCTTCTTTTGTGACTACAATCACTCCACGTGTCTTCCCTTTTCGGAACCTTGTGGTGTTACCCTACCTTCCATATGTTCAGTTAACTAGGTCTGTGGTTTTTCCTTTAACCATCCCATTACCGTTTGCGCTAGAGTATTTGCTACGTACCCAGAGGACTATACAACAAAAATTCACACATTTTCCTCAAAAAGCCAAAGTAAATCGTCTTACAGCTTTCAACTAAGCCACAACCAAGAGGCGAGCACCAAGAAATTAAAAAATTAACTTACACTAGCTCGTGAAAACTATACTGGAATGGAAGGATGGTTTGTGCTGCAATCTACCACAGATCTAGAAATTTTCTGAAACAGAAATATATCAAAAGTCCCTATAAGCTTATCAAAAGGTATTGGATATCGGATATTGGAGTTGTTTATTCGTACCGATAATGGGGATTGGTCGCACATCATATTTTAATCTTAAGGTCACTTTTTAGCATCCAACTGGGGAGATGAATAAGTCTTACTTATGGTTACCAGCTATTCTTGGTAATAATTATTTCGTAACAAATCATTTTTTTTAGCTTTTTGTCTGTCATCCGTGACTGTATTATGCAGTACAGTCAACCGAAGGGTTTGCCTCAATGCTGCTTCCGCACAGGAACATGGTTTATTATCTGAATGTATCAAAGAGTGGAAAACGTACCCTTGGGAAGCATTCAGAGTTGATAATTCCTCTGATTGCTCAGCATGCAGAATTATATCACCTTTCGTATGGGATTCTAAAATTTCTACTTTATTGTGCTCAAATCGCATGAGTGGTCAAGAGGTAATCCAGCTATCACAATGATATTTTGCTTAGTGCCAAAGAATTATTGATGCGTTGTCCCAACTTAAGAATATTAAGGTGATTTCTGTTACTAAAAGTTATATTCCTAACAGAATCGAAATGACGTTTTGTGCAATATACTAACACTGTGTGATTCTCACACATACATTAAGGTAAGCATATATATTTTGAATAATATTCCAAAGGACCTCAACTTTGGAGTTCCACTATGTGATGATTGCAAACGTTTGGTTAATGATGTACGGATTATGATCAAAGATAACTCAACAGCTGTGGATATTGAAAAACAACTGGATGAGTTAGTGTGTAACAACCTCCCTGGTGAAATTATACCATACTGCAAAAATATAATAAACGCTCATGTTCCGTATCTGCTGCAAATGCTAGCTGATAGTTTGGTTAGTTTATAATAAAGATTCATCTAGGTTTTAGAGCCCTGATGATATTTGTGGAACACTGGGGTTTTGTGTTAACGGAAAGGTCAAATTTACCCTAGCTGATTTTGCAGTAAGAAAGAGTACTTAATCTATTTTATACTACCACTTTTTCGTGTTTCGTCTGCGTAAATTTCGTTGTATCGATCTCTTTCACATTTTAGTCGTTTGTTAGTGATCTCAAGTGAGTTTTCCTAAATTTTCTCCTTTTGATGGAACATAAATTTAGTAAACAGGGATTAGTAAATGACCGCCAAATGATACTGTAAAAGGAGAAAGGAGGGGAACAATCAGGTAATAATGGAACCGATCGACTAGCATTTCTTATTTTGAACTCTTAATCGAACCATCTTTTCTGAAAAATAATTTTGAATGAGGAAGGGATAGTCCTTAATTGGATATATATGAAAGCACTGTACGGGGTCTATGCTGATTTGCCAGTGACAATGTCAAGCAAATCTTTTTGCTTGTCAAGAACCAACTTTGAACATCAAAATGAAATATTTCATCTCCTAGTGACTGTGGCAATCAAGCCTCCTTTGGATAAAATCGACCACTTTGCACATTTTCGCTAACTTCCGCAATGCATTCTAATGTATTGCATTTATGTATCTCCTTAGGCACCATTCATTCTCATCCTTCATTTATTAAAATACAGCCCTAAAAACTGTAAATTCAGCGGCGATTATCTTTTTTAGGAGAATGAGCTATCATCATGGTAGTGTTTTAGAAAAACCTATAGATATTCTGTTGTTATTAACTACAATGTAGCTATACAATGTTTGTCATAATGTGTGAATTTGTCAGAATTGTAACTAATGTGTTCCCCAGTATGTTGATTGTTGGTTGAAACAATAATTTTGGCACTTATTTATCTGGATTAATCTCAGAAGTTTCCACATACATTTCCATTTACTAATAGATGTTTTGAACTCCGTTACCGTACTTCTTCATGTTCATATTAGCTGTCGGCGGTTGTAATGAAACACTTGTCTTGACTATTGTAAAATGTACTTCCAATGTCAATCATGCTTTTTTATCTACACCGTTCTGTTTTTAGAGTAAATTGTGATGAAAATATCTTCTAACATCTATTCTTGAAGTTTTTAAGACAGTTATTAGTAGCTTTTTTTCTTGATATGTTCATGTCCACGTCAGTATATGTTAACAGCATATTACGGGTTACTATTCCAAGCTTCTTAAAATCAGTAGTACTGTTGACTAAAGACAAGAACAGTTAACCTTTTTGAGGTGGTTGTGTTCTCTGAGCTGGATAGGTAATTTGCGAAGCTTTCATCGCCTCACTAGGCAACATCTTCAGCGCATACTTCAATTTGAAGGGTTGTATGGTGAAGGATATATATTTATGAAAATTAGTGGAAAATAACAGTTAGTGGAGATATTTGGGACTTCGAAAACGCCAAGGAGTAAATATATTGTGTTATGGCAGGCAATCTTCACTTAAGTCATCAATAGTCTCCAACCATTGGTTATCACTATAATTCTCGTGGAATCTAACGTGGTAGCCGTTATCAGTAGACACAATGATTTCATACATTGTTCTGATTTATTCCTATCACCCCTAGCTATTTTCCGACGTAATCCTATGTCAGCATCGTGTATCCGTGTTGCGTACATCACATTATATGCTCGATGATTGTTTGTAGGCTTTTGTCCTTTGTGTGCTATACCAAATAGGCAAAGTAAGGTATAAAATCATTAAGCATATAGTTTTTTTGCCCTAAGGTCCATTTTGTTTACGTTAGACTTTTATGTAGCCTAACAAAGTGGGAAGAGATAGTTTTCTTACGAGGAGATTAGGCACTGTGTCCTACGGTAGATATGTAATTGCTTTTTATTTTTTGTTGCTATAAGATTAATTATTCTATCTGTTATTGTATAACTGTGACCCGAAGTAATATTATATTCAAATTCATATTTCGACATTGCTGTTTATTAGGAATTGAATAGGAGTTATTTCACTCCAGTTTAAGCGCCTGACATTCAAACAAGTTGGCTTTGCGTTTGAAACCCCTTCCACGTACTTTAGCTGAGGAACTGAGTAGTACCATGGATCCTTATGCAACAAGTGTGGCAAGCAGCATAATGTATGAGAAATATATCTCGGGTAACTAAGTTTTAATACTGAATGAAAATTTAGGAAGCTAGGAAAAATCCATTTGGGCTCAAGTAAATCCCCCATTCTATATGCCCTCCTTAACACGACAGCAAAAATATTATCACTTGATTGTTTCTTTTAAATATACAGACCTGTGATAGACTCAATAATGTGGTCGGCATAACATTATTCAGGTCCTGAAAGCTATGCGACTAACTTAATATGGTTACGAGCAATAAAATGCGCCCGAAATGTTATTCAGTAATTAGCACTTTGCAACAGTCCTTTATCAGAAGAGTATATCACAGAACTCTTCTTTTTTGATCATGGTTTCACACTCCACTTTATGTGGTGACATTTAGGTAATCAGGTTGTACCACAGTCTGTGTATATTATATGTGATTGAGTGCTTGTTGTAAGAGTGTACATGTCTTCTGTGAGGTACACCGGTCTTTCGAAGTTACTTAGGTTTGGATTCTTTATTCACTCTCTCAAATTTAGGCTAAAACTTGAGACTCGTAATGTTTTGCTTTAATTTTGTAGGCTCGTAAACGGAAATGTCATGAAAATAAAATGTATTCATGGATTAAACGTCCATCTACTAGCGACAATCATAAATGGACTTCGTACAGTACACAAGCAGCACCAACTTGTCCAGAGTGTCTAAATGTACTAAATCAATTCAAGACAGGTATACAGGATTCAACCATACAAGAACGTTTAAAGAAATTACTTGATGAGAAAGTGTGTGCCCATATGGGCTTCTTTAGTGCTGCGGTAAGTATCCTACTTTGAGTAGTCAATTTTATCAACAGTTTGTCAAAATCTTTATACAAAGCAAGTAGTTTTTTATTTCTATTTTTTGATTATAGCTTGATTCCACACCTTATTTTTCGGTACAGGTATGGAATTTTCAGCATGTGATATCGGTAGCCCAAATTTTGCAGGCTGACCATAGATATCAGGTGTGCGTTGGCAGGGGACCCGGATCCCGGACCGTGTGCATGGTCTGCGAGAGTCCTAACCGCTGTGCCACCGAAGCTGTGTAAATAAATTGATATGATGATTATGAGCATTAAATTGTGTTCAAAACGTCATCCAGTTATACTGCATCGCTGTGCATTATATCAGAGTAACTTATCTATTATGGAATTACATTCCACCACAGTGCCGAAGTTCTACACTTAAATCAAAAGTATACTCCATATGGTTGTATAGAAAATAGAAGTTTTGAGCTGCGGTGGACTGGACTCCACAATTTTCTCTTAGGAAATATTTATTGACAACTCTAAGAGATTTCACCCATTTGTTTTATTCGTCACCTTTGAGAAATATCCCCTAAAAACTCCATGCGGCTGTAGATCTAGAATGTACACTCTAGAAAAGAAGTTATAAAGTAGTATGGTTGATTAGTCGTAAGATAGAGCAGTTACTGTTAACGCAATAAACTCATGGAGAAGAACCAGTACCTTAGTCAAGGAAAAGTGGAGAACGATAAGTGTTAAATAATAAAATATTTCTGAAGGGGAAGATATTTGATCATCCTGAGATAGTATGGTCGATGCTGGGCTGTGCCAGATACGGTTTTCAACTGTTGTGATCGGTGCGTCGGTGGCATAGTGGTTAGAACTCTTGCCAACAAAGCACATTGTCTGAGGTTCGATCCTCTGCCGACGCACACCTGATATCTATGGTCGGCCTGCAAAATTTTAGCTACCGATATCACATGCTGAAAATTCCATACTTGTACCAAAAATACGGTGTGGAATCAAGCCGTAATAAGAAAAAATCAAAATCAAATAAAGCACTATGTAAACTCAAGTTACTCATCAGTTAGATTTAGACATATAATTTCAACATATTAGGCAACGATAGAAAATAATAATTTAATGGCAGTTTTATTTTCCTAACATAAACAATCATATGACTACTGCTTATTTTTACTCACTTCAGTAACATACGTTTAGTTACTGTACAGGCACTATAAGTGACCGATGTCGGTGAATAAATACTGAGCCTTTGGTAATGATAATTTGGCACGAATTCGCTCAACGTTTTTATGAACAAGTGGTGCCAAATTTACTGAGTCATTTTATTCTTTATTCTTAACTATGTTCAATTAACTTGGCTAGTGTGGCCAAACCAAGTACATAGAGAATGTTGTTTACAACCTAGCTCCATTCGCACTTAAACTCGGATTCGGCGCAAAAGACTGAAGCCATTAAGTAGTTAGTCAGTGTTTTCTGAAAGCTTTTTAAGATCATTCAGTTTTCTGGTTAGCGATTTCTTCAGATGTAGACTGAAGCCTTGGTTGATTGTGAGTTGAATACGCTTATTTGTGGTCGTTGGACCTGGAGTTTGAGTCTTGTTTGACCTAGTTTTCAACCTGGGTAACTATGCCAGTATAGTTAGCTGTTACACAAATGTGCCTCAGCCTCATAAATACAAAATTGAGTTCCAAAATTTAATTAAATAATTAATAAGACCCTTTGCACAAGAGGTGGTTCTCGTGGCCCAAGTGGTCTAGTGGATAATGCTTTGGCGTTGGGCACTGGATTCGAGCCTCGGTGGGGACATCATCAATGACTCATTGGGGAATGCAAGTACCTCCACTAGCTAACGAGTCCCAAATAGGACGAAATGCGCGTTATCCTGCATTCCACTGCTAGTCACCATCCACCCATTAGCTACTCCGTTCGTTCTATACTGGAGATATCAGGTAAGCAGAAAGGATAAGCAATATGACACTCTGGCAGCAAAGCGACCACGAACCTGTTGCTTAACAAATATACAGAAAAAATGAAGATGGATTGGGTATACTCTATGGAGACTTGTTGAGTGATATCATGCACCAGACCATCGTTCGAGTGGAACCGAAGTATACGAAACGACGAGTCGGATGGAGGTCAGAGGCTGACATGGAGGGGATCGTGTGAATAGGTAATGAAAGCTTGTGTGTAATCGTGGAGAACCGCAGACAATAGGATGAAATGGAGATGTGCCGTTGAAGCTCTAGGTTCCGCTTAAAACTCAATGGAATAATAATAATAGAACAACTGATCACATATTTATAAGTTTGTTTTTGTTTTATCTCCACCCACGACTTTTAATAAAGTCGTTGCATACCATTGTGACACTGTATCAGAATGTTTTCTACTTATCAAAAAATTAGTAATCGTTTTTATTCGTGTTTTTTTTTTCTTTTTTAGTGTAGAGAAGCGGTAGAATATAACTTCGATCAAATTCTCAGTGGTGTATCCCAAGTTGATGCTAAAGAATTGTGCAGTTTGTTTGGAATGTGTTCGAATGAAGAAATTAACTTACTGAGTGACGAAACAACATTATCATCATCGACAACAACAACAACAACATCGTTGTCTACTAAGCAAAATGTTCCAGGTGTTTGTCAATTGTGTGAAATGATAGTGCATAAAGTATTTCAGCTTATTGCAGCCAATCGAACTGAGCGCGAAATTATGTTGGCTTTAGAATTGGTAATTGTGTGCTTTTATTTTATTTTTTAATTTGTACAGTTTTAGTTTTACTACGCCGAGATTTTAGTTGTGTATGAATAAGAATATTATTGGGCCTATTTTATGTCACCTAACTTTCATTACTTGTGACATAATGTGTTTTCATACTGACTAACTACTATCTCATTATTGAAGTATTGGTTTGTAGGGATTTGATTGATTGGTTACTGGATTTCATCATGAGCTGACATTGGTCGGTTTGAGAACCATTAGAAAACCACCTGGGAGTACTGGACAGCTGTTTCGCCCTAGTTTGGGACTCTTCATCAGTAAGCACCCACCTCCAGAGTTTGAACCCAGGATCTTGGGTCTCGGTGGCTTAATGGTATACGAGCTCGCCTTGTAACCAGAAGGTCCTGGGTTCGAATCCCGATGGGTGCTGAAGAATCCCAAACTAGGACGAAACAGCTGTCCAGTACTCCCAGGTTTTTGCGTCGGGGGCACAGTGGTTAGGACTCTCACCGACCATGCACATGGTCCGAATTTCGATCCCTGCCGACGCACACCTGATATCTATGGTCGGCCTGCAAAATTTGGCCTACCGATATCCATGCTGAAAATTCCATACTTGTACCAAAAATACAGTGTGGAATCAAGCTGTAATCAAAATAAAAAAATAAAAATCTTCTGGTTACAAGGCGAGCTCGTAGGGCATTGAACCACTGGGACCCGATCCAATGGGCAGCCCATGAATTCTAACTTCTGCCAATTCACGACATAGCGCGACCCCTAGCCAATGTCTTCGGCGAGTATTTGTCCTCACATCCGACCTGCTGCACCCTATCTCATTAGTTACTGTAATGAGATGAAGAGACATCGTTAAGTCACTGAGCATTATTATTATCATTATCACTAACTTGGCATTTGTGCTGGAAAACCGGATCTTGTTCCTCATCAGTCATTGGCGCAAAGTTGGTCTTCGACTTTTTCCTATTTGGCTAGATGCCTATGTGTGGTTGGCGAGGAAAATAAAACCAACGCTTAAAGATCCCCGCTTTTCTGGCGGTGTTTACTTATGCAGTGTCAATGTATATATATATATATATATATATATAATTATCTTTGTTGTAATCTATGTAAATCTTGTACTTCTTCGTGGGAGTGTCCATGCTATGCATGCCGGGCCACTATTTTTCTTCACGAGCAGTGTTAGTTGACATAGTATTGGGTTGGAAACGAGTTGGTGGGAGTGGTCTGTCTGTCTGTTTTCGACATAGAACCTTGCACATATGTGCGGCAGTTCAAGTCGCCACACTCCATGTACCACAAAAAGCAAGAGAAGAAAGTAGAAGAAATGCATAATAGAGAGACACTAAACAGAGGTGTGAGACAAAGGAATAGTAATAACGAAGAACAATATAGTTTCACTGGAAGTCATAAGTCACGGAGTGGATGCATCTTCGTTATCCATTCAGAGCGATTTTGAGCCATATCACCAATTGTTTCCAATCACTGGTTTTTACCGTCCCGAGGACCCCAACCAGTCAAGAAGTCTACATCTTCCTACATGGCTTGAACCAGCCATCTCAATAGGTGTAACTTCACAGCCTCTTCGATTGATTTTCCCTCCTTACCTATCACCCGACCGACGCCTAATCTCAATATTGCTCACCTTATTATACCACTTCACACGGGATATAGAACGCTGGCACATATGACCAAAGACAGCTAGCTAATCTTTCCATGTCTTCCACTCTCAATGGCCAGGTCTCACTCACAGCCATAAAGGAGGACGGAGCGGACTGATGAACAGTACACTCGCCCTTTGTTCGATAGCCAGCCGGATATCACGTCTACGCCAGAGACGCCGTAAACTGGAATATGCGAAACCAGCCCTCTGTATCCGTGCTGAAATTTCGTCAGAGATCAACCCGTTGGCACTGGCTGATGGTACTCTCCAAATAAGTGAAGCGGTCAACAACATCTACCACTTCACTCCCTATTTCTAATCTGGGAGTCAGTGTAGTTCAGTCCTGAAGAATCATCTTAGATTTGGTGGGAGTGAATCGCATGCCAAACATACGCAAATCGCAACTCAAGGTGTTCAGAAGACTGCATTTTGTCAGCGTCCTCGTCTAGAAGGACTATATCGTCTGGATATTCTAAGTCAGCAAGATTATTCCCTGGTAGCAAGTCAATCTCTGAGTCTCTGAAGTGAGTTAGGGTTAAGTGCATTAATACGTCTATGATGAAATTGAATAGAAATGGGGTGTAATGGGCATCCCTGATGGACACCACTAGTTGTCACCACTTCAGATGATAACTCGCCATAAGCCCTCACCTGGCTGCTTGAGTTCGAGTCGATTGCCTTGATCAGCGCAATGTATTTCCGCGACATTCGCTCCACAGCCAAGCATCGCCAGAGTACCTCTCGGTTGACAGAATCGAATTCCGCTTTTAGGTCAAGAGATATAATGATTGTTGGACGCCTATGTTGTATAATCTGTCGGAGAGTGAAGATATGACAAATACACTCTCTTCCCGGTCTAAAGCCTGCCTGGCTCTCTCGTGTTTGTGCTTCCCGAGCACCACTCAGTCTACGCATGATTATTGAGCCTAAGACTTTAGATACTATATTAGTCAAGCTAATCCCTCTGTGATTATCACAGGAAGACTTGTCTCCCTTCTTGTATATCGGGATAATCAGTGACTTACACCAACCCGACGGGACTTTCTCTGATTCCCAGACGCTGACTAGTACCTCAGTTAACGCAGAGAGTAAACTGTCTGGTGGGAGTGGTAGCCAAATCAAAGGTTGGCATCAATCTATAAAGTGTTTGGCAGGTGGTTTAAGCTAGCCACGTAGGAAGGTGTAGATTGACTGGTTGTGAGGTCTTCAAAGTGCAAAGAACAAATAGCTTGATACTGTTAGTAACATGGCTCAAGATCGATCTCAATAACACAGGTGTAGTATTCATTTCTTGTTATATCTCCTATAATAACTAAACTCTTCTTAATTTCTTTCTTCTAGCTTCGTGGAGTATGGCAACTTGCGAACTGGTGTACTGCTGTATACAGTCCTATTACTGAAACTCAGTCAGTTATATATTGTCTGTTACTGAAGGAATTTTATTTCTATAATTATGCAATTTTTCGAAATTTTTCTTTCACTACTCAGGTTTGTGACTACCTACCATCTAGTTATAAGGGTCAATGTGTAAACTTTGTTGACAATTATGGTGTTAAAGTTGTTGAGGCTATTGTTGAAGGCACTGGCCCTGGTCTAGTCTGTACAGGCATGGGATTGTGCAATCCCTTTACATCATCAGCAATTAATGAACACCACCAACAACAGCAACAACAACAAGAGAAACTTCCAAGTCAACTAGAAAATACTCAACCGGTAAGTATGATCTTGTATATGTTTCAATATTTTTTTGTTACATTTCTAAGTTCTCAAAGAAGTCTTCACTTTTGGTATGTCGCTTTAAATTAATATTGACATCTTTGTTGGATAGATATTAACTATATACATTTGACACATACTAAGTTTTGTTTAATAGTAATGTTTACTGGCATAAGATGATTAAGTTGGAAAAGAGCTAGAACTGGTGAAATCAAAATGTGTTTCTTTAACACTAAGTGTATTATTGACTGTTGGTTTAATCCATATGAAGAGGTGTAGTCTACGTGATTGAGTTGTACAGGATTCTAAGAACCAGTGAATGGGTGGAGAAGGCTGGTGATCTGCGGTGTAAAATCCTTCTCAATGGCACGGATACGTTGACTGTTTGTAATCTCCCGGATCCATTAAACTGTCACTATTCTCCATGCAGTTTTGTCTCTCTCCCTCTCTCTCCGGTACACTATGCTTCAGTATAGTTTTTTTTGTTTGGAATTTCTTCTCTGTCGTTTTGTAATGGTGTAAAGTGTGATAACTTAAGGTGTCCCACTTTTGTGTAAAGTTCTGCGACAAATCTCAGTCAGTCAGAGGTGACATTGATATTATGGTATCATTTCGTGTCTGCACTTGTCACTTTCTTTGTGTAAATTACCTCGTAAAAGCGTGTTTCGGTTTAGATGTTAGATACGGTGCAGACGATTTGTAGCTCAGGTGGATGATTTTGAGGTGGTTGTGTTCTCTGAGCTGGATAGTTAATTTGCTTAGCTTTCATTTGCCGTACTAGGCAATATCCTTAGTGCATGCTTCAATTTGAAGTAGATTTTGGTTACAGAATTTCATCATGAGCTGATATTGGTTAGAGAACCATTGGAAAACCTGGGAGTACTGCCAGACAGCTGTTTCGTCCTAGTTTGGGACTCTTCATCAGAACGCATCCACCACCAAGGTTCGGGCCCAGAACCTTCTGGTTTCAAGGTGAGCTCGTAGAGCATTGAGCCACTGGGACCCGATCCAATGGGCAGCCCATGAATTCTAACTTCTGCAAATTCACTACATAGCGCGACCCCTAGCTAATGTCTTCGGCGAGTATTTGTCCTCACATCCAACTTGGTGCACCCTACTGGTCACGACTTCCCACTAGAACCCCAGGTAACTACCTACCTGAATAGGCCCAGTCACCAGTGAGCATCTCATTTATATTCAAGTAACCAATGTCAGCACGTGATGAAATCCTGTAACCAATCAACCAAATCCCTACAAACCAATACTTGAAGTAGATTTTATTGGCCACGTGGTTGTTTCATTCCATCCCATCAAACTAGTAGATAGGTTTGAACTTTATTTTCTTCCATATAATAATGTCAGCCAACTTTCAAAAATTTCTCCCCTCCTTCCTTTATCTAAAAGTACTTACATTTAAACTGTAAGTGACCTGTCAAACTTATTAAATAAAATACTCCATATATGATATTTCTGGTCATAAAACGAAATAATTCTTCGTGTTGGATTAAATATCCCTTGTAGAAACATGGCTTATTGCTTTAAGTGGCTTAACTTACAGTCAGTAGTTCTCGGATTTGAGTCCCGTTCTACTTAATTGAATCTGGACAATCGGATAGCACGATAAACACTCACAATAATATTTGTGTGATTCACAGCCTGGAAAATGGTGAAGATGGTATTATTCGCATAGTCTATGAGTGCACAGTTTTATTAATAAGCGGTCATTTATCGGTCACAGTCGTACCCTTTGAAATTCCAAGCTTCACTGACTTATGGGTTTGTTTAATTTGGTCTATGATCGGTTTGTGATACTTATGAACTGTTTTGTACTCATTTATCTGTTAGGCCTATAAGTTCAGAACAAAGCCCAGTTAATCAAGTGATCAACAGTCCTTTTTCCATTAGCTTTTAGGTATTGGTTTGCAAAAATTTGTTTGACTTCAATTTAGGTCATAAACTTAGATCACAACTGAATACTGGGACAGCCGTTTCGTTCTAGTTTAGGGTTCTTTATCACTACTCATCCATTATCCCACCCACTACCTTCAGGTTGTTGTGTAACACGGTGATATCTGTAGAAGCTAGAAGCTTCCTTCTAGATGTACTTCTTTTCTTGTAGAGAAAGGCTTAAATCGTCATCTTAGCCTCATAAACACACCTGTCTTATAAATAGTATGAGTTACTCGTACGTTTGGCAAATCGAATTTCGGCACTAATCTATGATGTTTATTGACTGGTAGGATAAATCATTTAGAGAAGCCTTAAATTTAGGCTATGACCGAGTGAATAACACTTTGTGTGTCTCTAGTAGAATAATTGACAACCGCAAAGAAGGTTTGGTTTCGAGTACTGGCCGATGCACTTCTAAACCTCCCGTAACCGGTAGTAAGCTTGGCGACCTCCACCCTTTAGAAGCAACACCAATACTATTGAGACTTTAAGTCATGAAGCTCTAATAGACCTTTATAGTAAGAAGACTAATTAATTCAAGTGTAGGGTAGGTCAGTGGTCGGTGAAAATGAATGGCATTCACATTATGTCACTTATCCCAATCCGTATCTGATATCTTAAAGTAGTGGTAGGTCTTGGTCGTGGCAATGGCATAACTATCTGTGCTGATCAAAAAGACTGTTCTTATCATACAGGAGAGTTACCTTTTAGAATGAGAACAGTTACCATCTTAGTGCAAGTTGGATATAATGTGACGGAGGTCTCATGATGAAGTCGATTTCCTGGCGACTAAGGGTGTGGCAGTCGTAGCGCATTTATCTCAGAAAATCCGCAAGTCAGATATGCTGTTTCTTGGCTGTGGGAGGAAGGGTGAAGCCAGGCGTGTCTGGAAAATGGTACATGTGTAAGTTCCAGATGGTAGGGTTTTTCGTAAAGATAAAACTTCACAAACTTCACCCCCGAAGAGGCCTTAAGTAGCTGTCATTCTAGCTTTGTGGTCATAAGCGTTAGGCGTCTAGGAATTTGGTTGATTTCAAGATAGGTTTCTTTGCGAACCGACTCTGACTAGTAAACCAGTGAGAAATAGGAGGCAGTGAACTGGTGTCTCGCGCATGACTCCACCAGAGATTAAACACAATACCTACAAGTTCCAACAATCTGAAAACTTGAAATTGTCTTCACTACCTATTGGTGACCGACTACAAGTCGGGCTTCCTACAGTTTTACTGAGGAGACGTGACAAGTGAGATTCATTTAGCCGGTTGTGAAAAGAGATACTTACCGATGATATCAGGTGATGGTGGCGCTATATCTTGGTTTGTAGAAGTTGGAATTCATGGTGGGTGAGTAGTGGCATGCCTACCTCATAAACGTAAGGTCCCGGCTTTGATCCTTAGTGGGATTATGGGCATACTTCGTTGAAGAGTTACAGACCAGGCCGAAATGACTGTTCAATGGTCGCTAGTTTTTGATGACTATCTAACTGATGTTAATTCGTGTCAAACCCTATTTCATGATACATTTTCTCTCTCATATTCTTAGTGAAGACACAAACTTCCATGTTGTGGGCAACCGTGATATAACCTTCCAAGTACTTTTATGAGTATACAAAGTTGTATTTGTTTTTCCCCCTTCTTCCCAGTGCTGGAACTATTCCTCATGCAGTGTCTTCAATTCCTCTCTCATTTTGTGGCCATTTTTATGGAAAAATCTTAAAATCACTCCACCTATTCAGAATTCTCAATGTCGAAACCTTACACAACAAAAATGCACTAGCCAAACTTCCTGCATTTCAGGCCCTGTTTGAAATACTGCGTAATATTGTAATTTGATTGGCGAACAACTATTCGCTTTTTTTCCCCTGAATCCAGCCTACTGCGAATGAATTTTTCCATCCAGAGCAAATTTAGGCTTCTCAGCATGGTGATGAACTAGTTTTTAATTAGTATGTTGAATTCAAAGGGTACTGACAGCGACAAGGCTGTTTGTTTTATTTTTGCCAGTGTGAAAGTATAATATCTTGATGTCTCTTTGGCTAGAGTCATTACTAGATTTAGTGTTGTTGGCGGTCATTCCCTTGACTAATTAATTAGATAGTCTGTACACTGACTTAACTTGAAATAATGGAGACCAGGTAGAGGGTGCATAGATCATGTCTTCACTCTCCGACAGATTCTGGAGCATAGACACACTTTTCGGCGTCCAACAATTTCCATATTTCTTGACTTGCAGGCGGCCTTTCACTCTGTGGATCGAAAGGTACTATGGCAATGTTTGACTGTGAAGGGAGTGTCAAGAAAGTACATTACACTAATCAAGACACTCTATTCAAACTCAAGTAGTCGTGTAAGGGCTTATGGGGAATCGTCATCTGAATTGATAACAACCAGTGGTGTCCGACAGGGATGTCCACTTTCCCCATTTCTGTTTAACTTCATCATAGATATGCTGATGGAAGTATCCTTAACTGAACTTAACGACTTAGGAGTCGACTTGTTACCAGGGTATAGTCTTATGGACTTAGAATATGCAGATGACATAGTCCTGTTAGGGGAGGATGCTGACAAAATGCAGAATCTTCTGACCACCTTGAACAGCAATCTTCGTATGTTTGGCATGCGATTCACCCCTGTAAAACGTAAGATGCTGCTACAGGACTGGACTACTTCAACTCCTAGCTTAGTGATAGGGGGGAGTGAAGTGATAGAACGTGTTGACCACTTCACCTATTTGGGAAGTTGTATCAGCACCAACGGACTGATTGGCGACGAAATCTCAGCACGGATATAAAAAGCTCGAGTTGTTTTCGCTTACTAACAGCATCTCTGGCGTAGGCGTGACATCCGGCTATCAACCAAGGGACGTGTGTACTGCTCATCAGTTCGCTCCGTCCTTGTCTATGGCTCTGAAACATGGCCAATACGAGCTGAAGACATGAAAAGGTTGACTGCTTTCGATCATAGATGTCTACGATCTCTTTCTCACATTAGGTGGTATAATAAGGTAAGTAATGTTGACGTTAGGCGTAGAGTGTTGGGCAAAGAAGG